CTGCTATTTAATCTTTCCACTAAATTTTCAAATTGATATAAAATTTACAAGCAATAAAATGCACAGGTGTTTGGGGTACAGCTCATTGAATTTTGATACAGATTATACTCATGTAACCACAACCACCGCATGGTCAAGATACAGACACTCCCATTTATCTCAGAAAGTCCCCTCACGCCCCCTTCCAGTCAAATGCCCCTCCCAAAGGCAGACCTTGTATTAATTTCTACCATCTATTCTACGACTGCAATAAATGTCCTCATAAAGAAGACACTCTTCTGTGTCTGTTTTCTTTTTGCTCAACATAGTTTTAAAAGTTCATTCATGTCGCTGCCTGCAGCAATTCATTGCTTTAGGCTGCTGAGGTGAGTTCCATTGATGAAGCACTGCTATATGTTTATACATTTGATTGGTGATGGAGGTTTGGGCTGTTTCTGATTTGGGGGCTTTCAGGAATAAAGCTGTTATGAACATTCTTGTCTAAAACTTTTGAAGACATGATTTCAATATTCCTGGATAAATACCAAGGAGTAGAATTTCTACCAAGGAGTGGAATTTCTTGTCACAGTAGAGGCATATGTTTGACTCTATGAGAAACTGACAAACTGTTCTTCAAACAGTTCATAATTTTCTTTTCCCACTAGGAATTTAGGGAAATGTCCCCACCAACACTTGGTATTGTCAATCTTTTAAATTATAGTCACTCTAGTGGGTATGAAATCGTACATCTTTGTGGTTTTAATTTGCATTTCCTAGTGACTGTTGATAAGGCTTACTGATTATTCCTATGTCTTTATTTGTAAAATGATTTTTCAAGATCTTTGATCATTTTTAAAAGCTGTGTTATTTGACTTTTATTATTGAGTTCTTTGTCTATTTCTGGATACAAGACTTTTGTCATATAATTATATATTGCAAATATTCTCTACCAGTCTATGGCATGGCTGTTCATTTTCTTAACAATGTATTTTGATGATCAGGAATGTTTTAATTTTGATGAAATACAATTATTATGGACTGCATGTTTGTCTCCCCCTTAATTTATACGTTGAAACCCTAATCCTTAATGTGGATGGTATTTGGAGGGAAGTAATTAGGTCTCAAGGCTGAAACCCTCATGATAGGATTAGTACCCTTATAAGAAGAGACAGAAGAGAGCTTTCTCCCTCCCTGTCTCTCTCTCTCTCTCTCTCTATGTGAAGAGAGAAAACAGGAAATGGACCCAGACCATTTCCAACACCCTGACCCTGAACTTCCCAGAGTCGAGAACTGTGAGAAATAAATTGTTTAAGCCACCCAGTCTGTGGTATTTTTGTTATAGGAGCCCGAGCTTTCTGAGATTACTACTGTTGTGTTCCAAGAAATCTCTGCCTACCCCATGTCCTGAAGATACTTCCCTATGTTTACTTCTGGATGTTTTATAGGTCCATGATCCATCCTGAATTATTTTATACAGTGTGAGGTGAGCGTCATGTTCCTTCTTATTCCACCTATGCATATCCAACTGTTCCAGCAATACCTTGAGAAGGCTAGCCTTTCCCCTTTTTCTAAAAATCAGTTGACTGTGTATGTCTATTTCTGGGCTGCATTCTGTTAGATTAAGCTATTTATCCTTACACCATTATCACACTGCCTCAATTACCAGTTTTATAGTAGGTCTGACATCAGGTATAATAATTTCCTCAATCTTTTTCTTTTTTTTCCAAAGTGGTTATTGACTCTTCTAAATTTCATTTCTGTGTAAATTTTAGAATAACGTCTCAGTTTCTAAAAATGGCTGCTATAATTTTTTTATTGCAATGGCCTTAAATTTGCAGATTAATTGGAGAATGAATGTCTTATCAAATATTGAGTTATACAATTTATAAACATTACCATTTATTTATTTTTTTCTCAACAAAATTTCATCATTTTCAGTGTAGAGGTCTCACACATTAAATGTATTTAAAATTATTTTGTAATTTTTGATACTATAAATGGTATTTTAATTTCATTTATAAATATTTACTACTAGTTTATAAAAATACAATTTTCATTTGTATATTGACTCTATACCTGTAATCATGCTTAATTTACTTACTCTTTCTAGCACCTTTTGGGTAGATTCTTCATGCTTTTCTGATAAACAATCATGTTGTTTGCAAATAAAGACTGGTAGCTTCTTCCTTTCTAATCTTTGGCCTTTCCTTTCTTTTTCTGGGTTCATTTCTTTTGCTAAGACCAATGTTGAAAAGAGTAGTGAAAGAAAATATTCTTATTTTCCTTACAATATAGTGGAAAATGTTCAATATTTCACTGTTAGGTATGATGTTAACTAAAGGTTTATGCTCCATGCCTTACATAATGAGTGCTTTGAAACGAACAGCGGTGTTAATGTGGATTTCACCTGGTGTGAGTCCCTTTCTTCAAGGCTTGAATGTCTATTTCTTGTTGCTCTCCAATGCTTTCAGTCTCAGCAAGATTAGTCCAATTCAAGCTACTCCACCATTAATGAAAACTTTCATGGAATACTGAATTTCTATTACTACATTAATTTCTCCATAGTTTTATTTGTTATTTTTTTCTAAACACGTTAGATCTTTTTTGAGAGTCTCTGTTCCTTACTTATTTGTTAGCCCCTCTTTTACTTTAAAAAAACAATGGATGTATTTATTTTGCATTTTGTATCTGATTACTCCAATATATGAGACTCTTATGTGTCTGCCAAATAATGCTCCTGGCACTTTTTTCCTCATGCATATTTTTACTTTATTTATTTTTTGGGGGGGAGGGGATAATTAGATTTATTTATTTGATGGAGGTACTGGGAACTGAACCCAGGATCTCGTGCATCCTAAGCACACATTCTACCACGGAGCTATTAACCACCCCCTTCTTTTATTTTAAATGTGAGTTTATATCCCCTGGAAGTTTATCTCTCAGAGTCCTTTGTATCCTGAGTTGAGAGAACATTCTTCCAGAGAGAATATACACTGATTCTTGGAAACTTGGGCATGCTACCAACATGGATACATTTTCACTTAAATTTTTCCTTGGAGTTTTCCACCCTTGAAGACTGGGCACCCAAGACTCCATGAAGACCAGCCTGTGGCCAAGTCTTCTTAGTGGAGGCTCTCTCTTTTGTTCCTCTACTAAGAGCCCAGTAATGAGAAAAGCATGTTTTCTTGCATGTACTCTGCTTTTATAAATTAGAATTCCACCCCACTCCCCGTTTTCTATTTCTCTAAGGGTATAATCCGTATGGTTCTTGGTTCTGGCCAATATTCTCTGATTCAACTTCCCACATTGCCCAGGTCCAAAAACGTGGTCTCCTGTTCCCGGAGGGCACAGCAACTAAAATAAAACCTCTAGGCCACCTAGGAGTGCTGGCTGCCCACAAGACAGCAGCGTCAGTGTCTGAGTCCCACCCTGCGCAGCTGCTCAAGCTTGAGTCCCAGCCTTGGGGGAATTCCAACGCTGTCTTATAAACTCAGCCATGCATGCAATCCTACTTTTCATGTTTCATCCAGTACTTTAGACATTTCTGTAGTAAGAGACTTTCAATATATCTAGCTTGAGGATATAGCTAGAAATGGAAATATTCCACATTTACTTTCTAATCTCTAAAGGCTTTAGTTATTGCTCTTCATTTAGCTGGCTGGCACGTGAGTTAGCTGGATGGATAAGAATGGTTAACAGAAGAGATCGCTCTGGACCTCTCTGCCTATAAATATTGAATTTATAGTAGTAAAGAAATAAATAGTACCTGTTTCTCAAAAACAGCTATAAAAAATGAATCTAATGGATAATTGGCATCTCTCGTGATGGTTTTACTTCGAGAATATTCCAAACAGTTTCTCTAAAGAGCTGTCACAGGCTTTGTCAATGAAGGAATTGTGAAGAAGACAAGTAATTAAGGCTTTGTGTTAGTACCACACTAGTTCTCAAAGCTGTCTTTCATGAGTAAAATAAAACCTGAATGGATCAAAATGTTTCTTGGAAGTTGGCCAGATTTCACATGAAAGGACTTCCTTTTACTCCTTTACTATAGAGAGAAATCGCTTAGCAGTTACACATAATAAATTTAATTCCTAAGGCTAAATTACACTCTGTAACATGTGGATGATAAAACCTACCTCATCAACTGTTAAAACATATGGATTGAAAAATGTTTAGCACAGTAGCTTTACACACTAAATGGTAGTTACTATTATTTCCACATAAAAAAAGTTCTGGTGTGAGAAACTTTTAGTATCGTTGTAAATGTTAAGTTCAGAGATGGTTGACTGTCCTTGAGCTACTGACAAAATAGACTCAGGAAAACTCAGCTTGGGTTCCCCATCTTGATGGGGTTCCCTCCTGAGATCCAAAGCGTCTTGGTTTCTCCTTAATTATGACTGCCCAGTTCTCTTACAGTTTCATAGTGAAAGCAGTTTACGTGACTGGTAGCATTTTTTTTCTGTAGTGTGACATGCAAGGGGAATCACATTAGGCATGCCATCCATTACAAATATGGATGGCAAGAAAGTCTCTCCTCAAGGAACCTATAGTCCAATGTTGTGATTCTCAACCCAGGTTGTACCTTAGAATCATCTAGAAAGATTTTTTTTAAACTACCAACATTTATACATGTGTCTTTCCTCCCTATACAGACTGGCTATCTTGGGACAAAAGCCATACTATCTTCCTTCCTTATTCCTCATAGCCAGTATCTATATGTGGCAGGAATTTATTAAGACCCACTTAAAATCATTATACAAAAATGCTAACAGAATTCAATTTTAAAGACATTCTATAATGTGAACTCTTAGTAGGAGTCACAAATAAGGCTGAAACATTAAATTCCTAGGCCAAAAAGAACTGTAACATTGCTCCCTGTGTTAAGTGTGCTGATTTCAAAAGCCATATCCCCCAAAGTGAAAATAACAGATGCACCAAAATTAAAAGAAAATTGCAACTATAACACAGCTTTGTGCGTAGAAATACTCATGTGGCACTGTAAGTTACAAAATTTGTCTTACCAATTTAAGATATCCCTCAGCATCTAGAATTAAGTTTTCTGGTTTCAGGTCTCTGTAGATAATACCCAGTCGATGCAGGTAATCAAACGCTTCCGTCACACAAGCAACGCAGAACTTGGAGGTGGGTTCATCAAAGCTGCCTCTGCAACGAAATCATTTTCCCTCTTAATACTCTAGACACACATCCTTGCGGTATATTCTAGGTGTAAATTATCATAGTGTAAATGTATGCAATATAAACATTGTGTAGGGCATCAACTCTAAAAAGTATTTCATACTGCCAATGAATGAGGCTGCTGATCATAAAGAAACTTAGGGGGATACTTGATGCAAACAAGAACCACTTCACTGAAATTAAGATGTTTACAACCAAACGATTGTTTCTGGCAACCATATGTGAAGATCTAAAATAGAAAGAGGAGAAAACAGAACTTGTTTTTAGATACCTACGGTAAATTCTGGAGAAAATGCAACAGTATCAATGGAGAGCTTGAACCAGACTTCTGTAATTGATTGCTTGACTAAAAATGACCCAAATGATCATTTCCATTTCCTGTTTGCATAGCACGTAACAGTAACCCATGTAGAAATGGGGTCATAACTCTTTCCTGTTTAGTGTGCCTTGATGATATTAGAGTTGCCCTGTGTCAGCACCGTGTGTAGGTTTACCTACTGAATTATTAAACGTGGTGGTGGTTTGCTGCATGGTGTAATAGAAGGCTGTGGCTCTGGAGTGAGAGAAATTGGCTTTGACTCCTGATTCTTCCATTCACTGTGTCCTTGGGCAAGTTGTTCGGCTGTTCTGAGCCTCAGATCCCTAGCTGTAAAATGGGTGCACTGCTGACTTTACAAGGCTGTTTTAAGGAGCAGGCAAAGTGCCTAACAGGTAGCAGGAACTCCCATCTCTAAACAGATTAAGATATTCAAAAAAGATTTGCCAGTTGAAGCAAAGATGGAAGATGCAAATGCTTCTGCAGGTGTCATGCAAGTCTCCTCCACCCTTCCAGGTTCCCCCCATTGGGTCCATCCAACAGTCTGTTCCCAGCACAACATACAGCTCTTCATTCAGATGCTTAAAGGTCTCTTCCTACTCAGGTCCATGATTCTTGACCATGAATGCACATTAAAATTGCTTGAAAGGCAGGTAAAAGTCACTTCCTGGACCCCAAAGCAAGTGAACCAAATCAAAGCCTTTGGGATTAGGGCCCAGCATTTTCATCTATAAAAGCTCCCCATGCGACTGTGATGTGAAACCAGAGCTGAGAAGCACTGGCCCAGGGAATCCTGTCTCAGTGTCTGGCTCGGCAGTAACCTCCACAACCTAACGCAAAGCTACCTTCCCATCTCCTCTTCCTCTGCCCTCATCTTCTATTTAAACTCTGCTCTTAGTCAGCGAGTAAGAGACTTAATCGTAACCCAACTTCCCTGCTGTGTCTTACATCCGTTTCCCTTCTTCTCTGCCTTCTCACATTTTGGTCATCCTTAGAGTTCAGCTCAAGTCCTTCCTTGACCATCACATTTTTCTATCTTTCCTCTCTTCCGAGCTCACTATTCACAACACTAATTGGACATTTGGTTACAAATAGCCAACTTCATCATATTTAGTCCTCACATTAAATAATGAAATGTTTTAAAACTGCAGGTTACATTATCTCCTGAAATCAAATCTAAATCCACTGGAGGAAAACTTTATACTTTTTATACTTCTAGTTATAAAAGTTTATATGGTTTAGGAAACACCCACACTATACTATGGAGCCTTGTATGTAGGTGGAGCTCAGAAAATACCCGTGGTTCTGACTGTATGGAAAATGCCCTTTTTGTGTAATAGCATCTTTGCAGACACTTCACTCTGCTTTCCAGCCAGGGCTTCCCCACTCCCCACCCTTCCTTCATCTCCCTTCTCAAGATTCAGAATCAGTAACTTCTGGGTTTATCCTTACTCTGCCTCATACTAACCACGTGACACAGATGGTTTACACCTGAAGCCTGGGCTCCTTTAATCTTTAATACGAGAATGACAATGACTGCCTTACATGGTGCCTATTACGTGATTATAACATTAGCTAAGAAAATGTCGCTATTACTTTTTTAATCAAGTGGTAACATTTTTTAAGACTCATTTCTTAATGACTTTCTTCATGTCTCTTTACTTTTTAAAATTAATTAATTAATTAAAATGGAGGCACTGGGGATTGAACCCAGGACCTCATGCATACTAAGCATGTGCTTTACCACTGAGCTATACACCCTCTCCCCTCTTCATGTCTCTTTAAATGATCATGAATAGTGCATCCTTTAGACCAGATGTGAGTATACAAAAGTAATAATTTATAAACCTTTTTCATTACCTGTCCCTCAATATACTCCATAGCTCCCCACCTAAGCAGGCCTCCAGAAGCATGTATACATACTTATTGTCCTTGAAAGTACGATACAATCTGTGAAGACAAATAAAAAGATGGCTATTATTAGAAATCTAGTTTTAAAACATCTTTAAAGTTGCTTAAGAGCATCATCAATAACATTTTGGACAATGGTCCTCATCTCCTTCCAAACATCCTACAGCGATATCGGCTTCCCCTGATGCTCTAATCTCTCCTCCTCCCTTGTTTTTGCTCCTGCTGACCCCTTTACTTGGACTTCCCTCCCTTTACCCACAAGCTGAACTTCTTAATTTCAGTTTCCCTGTATAAATGTTAGCCATTCTCAGCACCAAGCTCAGGGGTCACCTTCCTGATAAAGCAGATCCTTATCCCATCTACTAAATATGGCCTATCCTTCCTTCTAAAACCCAGAGACCTCTGCATAGTCTCCTTTAAGATCTGCCTTGCATAACAGTCATTCACGCCCATGTCTTATTCCTCTAGTTGGTCTCAGGAAACAGACTGAGACAGACATTCCTAAGCATTTCTCGTGGGGACTGCTCTTGGGACCAACACCCATGGTGAAGGAAGGAAGTAGACTTGGATAGAGGAGGGGTTGGACTGTCATCTAGTTTTTCAAAAGCCTCGGCTTCCAGGAGCTCTGCCATCACTGGATGCAGGATGTACCTGGAGAATGAGTATGGTCTTGGCAAGGTGGTTCTCTTCACTTTAGAGCACCGGCTGGAGAGGGGCTGAGCTAGATGCCCCAGCTGGCAGCACTCCCAGAAACTGGGAGAACGACAGCCTCAGTCCTGATGTGGGTTCTGGGCAACATACCGTATTTCAGCGCTGGGTGAAAGCAATCTCTGGGTCTTACTCAAGAGATGCCCTTTTCTCCCTAGCACCATGCCCAGGCTAATGCAGGCAACGGAACAGCTATCTCACGTACAGGCAGCAGAAGCGACCTAGTAAGTGGTTCTGGGTGGAATCTGGATCCAAGCTGCCCGGGGTTGAATCCCTGATCAACCGTTTATGAACTAAGCAACTTCAGTTTTCTCATTGTTCCTGCTCAACAAGGACAATCTTCACATTTACCTGTTTTGTTATGAGGATCATAACAAATACATATCTTCACTTGATTACATACTGATTATATGTATTAATTTAATATATTTTACACATATAATATATGAAATAGATATAAATAAAAATGTTTAATATATTATATATAAGATTTTTTAAAATTTTTGCTTTAGAAGAGTGCCTGGCACATATTATTTTCTCGACAATAAATGTCATTAATATTCATTTTTAATATTATAATTGCCCTACTATATGCCAGGTCCTTTGCAAAGAGCTGGGAATGAGAAAATGAATAAAATCTAACCCACACCCTGAAGCTGCTCTTGATAGTTTTTAATGAATTATTGATTAAAAAGGCAGGGGGAGCACATAATTTATATAAAGATAATTGGCTGACTCTACTGCCAGCATTGCCTGAGTTCAGATTTTTTTTTAATCTTGAAAAGAAATAGGTCTGAGAATATGGACAGGCAGAAGGAATCTCTCAAGGCATTTCACAAAAAGTATAAATTCTATTCATTAAAGAGGCACCTTACATCACCCAGAAATCTCTAAAGCTATACTCTGGGGCTTTAAGACATGTATGAAAATATATGCGTTAACTGACCTACACAGCTAACCCATGAATTCACGAGAGAGCCATGGCCTAGAATAACATATTTCTCTTCCAAACTCTGGTGATCAATGCAGAAAGAATAGTAATTACAAGGAGGTGGATCTTTGGGCATCCAGGCACCACTAGGAACCAGCTCCTCGGAACCCACAGGTGCCCAAATGTCAAATTCTCACAGAAATTCAAAAGCAGCATGCTTCCTGAGGGATTCTGAATGAATTCTTGCTTCCCAAATTCTGCAGTTCAAATAAACAGTTCAAATTATTCCCACAATAATTTTATATTCACTTCAAACACACACACACACACACACACACACTTTCCTGAGATTTACCCAAGGATAAAAAATCTGGGCTCTTGACTTCAGATCTCAAACTTCGAACATTTTATGTGTTGTTGCTGTGACTGGGATGGAGGATGCAGAGTGGGGTCTCCTCTTCCTCTTCTGCCTTCTCTCATGGAAACACTCAGCAGAAGAGCCTGAGATCCTAAGTTCTGAGAGGGAAGCCCTCACTTACTTCACGATGAAGGGCGAGCACAGCTCCTCCAGGATCCTCTTTTCTGAGTAGACATGCTCCTGCTGCTTCGTGTCCACTATGTGCTTCTTCCTTATACACTTCATGGCAAAAGCAACGTTCTCGTTTTTCACCTTAACCTAGGTAAGAAGGCAACAAGCCCTCAAAATGAACTTACCAGAAAAAGTTTACCATGCCTATGTAAAACATGTTGACTAGTAAGAGTTCCAATTCTTTCACATTTAAATAGTATGGAAGCTTCTAACCACTTATCCTTCTGGGAATTGAATATTATTCAGGCATATACACTTCCCTTTTATTGTATGTAATTTCCCCAAGAGTTCACATATCTGGAACACAGTTCTAAAAATATTTGTGTTGAAACAAGAAAAATACTCCAGTTAGAAGACTGAATGAAGTTTAGAAATCTCTTCAGTTTGGAGTATGCGATATGAAAAACTTTGGCCAGAATTGCCCCCAAATTGTTCTTTCTTAATAGTCACTTCTTTGATATTCAAAGTGAAACATATTTTAAGTCAAGATGTATATCTGCCATATCCCATATGACAGCCACTAGTCATATGAGATTATTTCATTTTAAATTGATCAAAATTAAAAATTCAGTTCCTCGGTTGCATTATCCACATTTCAAAAGCTCACCAGCCACAGCTAGCCAGTGGCTACCCTATTGGACATGCAGACACAGAACGTTTCCATCAGTGCAGAATGTTCTGTTGGAGACCACTGCTCTAGATGGATGAACAGAATTTTCCCTTAAAAGAAAACTTAAAAATTTTTAATAAATATTTATTCAGAGAGGCTTAAAACTCCATAATATGCTATATTTGACAAGTAATGACATTGTGCAGAAATGATCACACCTCATATTTTGTTCACATTTGCCATTAGTACTGCCTACGATTTTTCAATCAATGGCAGAATTATTGATTCAATTATTGTTATTTAACTATATGAAAAACAAAGCTCAGCATTGTCAATTCAATCCTTTTGCCAAGAGTTTGGTGGAAAATACAGCAGATAGATCTCTCCCTTCTCTCTCCATATGGTGGAAGAAACATTAGTAATACTTTTTGGCCTATTAAGAACTCTTTTCTTCCTCTCTCACCCAAAAGAGATGAAGTATGGACTGGGTGTGTGTGAACTGGTCAGCATCTCCAGCAGCATTTCAGATCCGCTCACACCCAGGCCATCCAGCAGATGGAGGTGTCAGCACCATTCCCAAGGTTAATAATATACAGTGAATCGTTACAAATCTGTGCGGCAAAGAAGGGCTGGGTAATTGCCAAGGGTTTAGAGCCATCTCTACCCAGTAAGGTCACAGATCTCCATTCGACAGTTTCTTCAGAGCGCTTGATCTGACAGCCCCGCTCTGCTACTCCTTGCAAGCTGGTTCTCAAGCTCAAAGAAGAGTTGGTGTGGAAGATGCAGCGGAAATCAGGCGTAATTTCCCAGCTGTCCTGATCAGCACTACAGAAAGCTGCTCTTCAAACATCCCCTTGCAATTCTGCTTCTTTTCTGTTTTTCAGAAAATTTTGAGCAAGCCAGAAATAGGATAATGAAAGCCAAATATAGACATGGTAGGGGAGTTGTTTAAGAAACGGAATTATGATATGAAAGATTTCATTTCTGTGGCATTTCCACTGGACACATTCTTCTTTTCTTTAGTATATAGTTAATGTATCGTGAGTGTTTGTATACATACATTTTGCTGTTAGCAAATACATTTTATGTTTTCTAGCCTTTGGGAATGGTTACTTGGTACATTCTCCAATAACTGCCATCAAGAAAACAATTCTCAAAAGGACATGATGTAAAAAGCTTGAAATAGCAGCTGTATTATTACAAGTTACTTACTAGCACAGACCTGCTATTATGCAACATACAGAGTGAAAAGTGTACTTTCTCAATTTCAGTTCAAAGCAACATTTAGATAGCAATAACAATGCATATATTCCTCCAAGAGACACTGGAATATAAAGCAAAAAAAGTCAAAAGGCTTCTCTCAGATGCTTGAAACGTAAACCCCTTACAAGCTCAACTCTTCCGAACCCACCAACGCCCAGTGTGGCGATAATCTCAAGGTTCTGGAATGGGGATGATGAGGAAAATCTGGCCACCTTCTCCTTCAGCTGAATCATCTCCAGAGAGAGTGCTTTGGACAGCTTCCAGCTAGACATGGATCTCCTGTATGAGAGAAGAGAAACTTTTTACACCTTCCTCCAGGCAAGCAAGGCTCACAAAACACAGAAATTCCACCCTTAAAAAAGCCTTCTTTCTGCCAGTAATTACTGCCCATAGTTGCCATAAAGATTATCTCAGCTTTTATAGGATCAGATTCAGTTACAACTGGGGAGAAAAGCAACAGAATATACAAATATGAAACAAATACACTCGCACACAATAAAAAAACGGACAAAATGTCAAAACGAGTGAATTGTGTGGTATTTAAAATACATCTCAATAAAGCATTTTACAAAAAATAAATAAGTCATGAGAGGAAATAAATCCAGAAGACTGGAGAGCCTTTGCCTTTGTCGCACATACAGGAAACAGCCACACAGCATCTCCGCCATGCTTCCTTCGCTCTTTCTGTCAGACCTCGAAGGTCCCTGGCTGAACCAGAACAACTGCTTTGTGAAACATGAAAAATACATTCCTTATTTTATGTCTAAATATTGTTACTTGGAGATGCTCATTTACCTCCTTTAGTTAAAGTTCACTGCTTGGGATTATGTATTTATAAATCGTTCTTATTACAAAAGGCCTTTGGCATAAAAACTGCAAATATATTCCTTGCCAGAAAGAAAAACAAAAACAAACTCTGCAGTTCTGGTTGAAAGCTCTAATTTAACACAAGTGTTTTCTAGAACTTTTGACTCTTAAGCTTTAATGGTACTATCTAGTAAATACATGCTTAAGTATTCACTCTACAGAATATTCTAGCAAAATATTTTCAAATCATTTAGATTTTACAAAGCAGTTTTTTTCTATGAGACAAAACATGTTTCATCAGTATTACTGCATTTGGGACCCCTGAGCAATAAACTCCATTATATCTTGAAATAACCTGGGCTCTCGTTCTAGATTATTCTTTATCTGGAATCAGAATGAATGGACTATGCTAGTGCCTTGTCATTCTTGTTTGAGTTCCATGTGCGAGAGAGGCCTCCCTTCTGAACTAACGTCTTTCGGAGCTAGGTCACAAGTCAACGTACAGACGCCCTTTCCCAAGGACTCTTATCAGGATATCATCCCCTTAACATTGCTACTCATCGCCGAAAATAAGAAACGCTATTTATAGACTAAAGTGATATCCATCCTAGTGGTAAGTGGCATTTTTTTGTGGAAAGACAAGTTAAAAGAACTCCCCTAAATCTTCTAGTGACAACACACTAAAAGCTACTGCACAGCAAGCCACACCCCTCGGTCCCCTTCATTAACTGCCAGAGGTCACACCGGCTTAGGAAAATTTTCCTCCACTTACTTCGCATGTCTTTTTTCATCATCACGGTTCAGGTTTGCCACATACCCTTCAAGATATTTCTGGAGTTCTTCAAAAGTCCCAACTGTTTGGTTGAATGTTCTAAATGAATAAAAAGAAACAAACCCTCAATGCGAATAGTTACCTTTGTAACTTACCATTCTTCTTAAGCTATTCAGAAAACATTAATTGTACGGTTATTCACAGCTTTGTAAACTGTTTTTCAATAACTTATGTTACATTAAGTGGCCATCACAGGTAGAATAATTGTTAGAAGCTATATGATTGAGCTTTTGAGTTTCTGAAAGCAAGGAGGCTCTCAGTGAGAAGAGACATTTCTGTGGTTTTCTGCAATTGTGGTTCAGGTTTACCAAAAATTGTTCTTTTTTTTTTCATTTTAAAGAAGACAGCGGAAAGGAAATAGTCTACATGATCTGCTTATTGAATCCACAGGTAACATATCTTACCCATTTTTCTAACCTTGCTTAATCAAATTGAGCTCTTTATTTTTAAAAATCAAGGATAAAAAGTATCTCTTCTTTGTCCCTAGATAATACTCCTCATTTCACATCCATTCGTAAATAAATCCAAACTTTTTACCTTAACTTAGTAATTCTTTGGGTGAGGCTGGGCCATCATATTCCCTTGACCCTCCTGACCTCACGGATCACAGGTTTGTTACGTGTCCCGCCTACTCTCCCCGTCCCAAGTCCCTTGTCTCTGGGAATTCTTACACAGGGCACTGCCCATGAGAAAAAATAATCCCTTTCCTCACCAAAGAAGTATATTTTCCAGATTATCCTTCCAATGCGTCCTGCACCCCACACTCGACAACCTTCCTTGATGGGTGATTTTTAGGGTGGTTCTCTTCCCTCCTATAAAATAGCAACCTTCTAGAAACCATGCTTCAATCACCTCAGTAAATCTTAAGCTCCTGGCCAGAGCAAAATGAAAGGAATGAAAATTTATGTCAACACACCTAACGCTAGTAAACCAGAGCCACCTCATTAGTGTCGTGTTGCCACTTACTGCCTGCCTAACCCTGAAGACCTCTACCCACCTGTAACTGACCACCAATCTATACTTACATTAGTATTTTACTGTACTGGGTATTTCCCATTTCCCCCTTCAGATCTACACTCCACTCTTCTCTGCCCTGCTCTGTGGACTGTCCGTGGTTGACCGTAGAGTAGTGAGAAACAAAACAGGCTTGCCACACAATTTCAAATTTCCCACGGCTGAAGTTTTCAAGTAGAAGGAAATACTTCTCTTAATTTGTTTTGATTTTATTTATTCTATTTGTCACCATAGTCTTGCTTGCTATTAAACTAATTCATGTATTGTTGTAAACAGATTTTATTTTTTTAATGTAGGTGACACTAGTGTCACAGATCTCTAGATATTCTCCACAAATAAGTCAAGTTTAAACAGCTACAACATTCTAGCTGTAACATTCAAATACATATTTTTTTTAAAAAATAATGAATTAGGAAAGCAGAAGTAAAGAGCGATAGGCTTTCGGTCACTATATTCTATTGCAAGGATGGTGCCCTTTATTCCGTGAACGTCTGCATTGCTTCCCATAGGCCAAGGACCATGTCAGACACTGGCACGCAACAGCCGTGAACAAGAAAATATTTCTGTGCTCATGAAAAAACAGAAGAGTGGGAAGACAGATGTTAAATACAGCAATCAAAGTGTGAATAAGGCTGTAAGGGTGCCATGAGAGAATTACTATGAGATCCTAATCTAGCCTTAAAAGTCATAGCTACGATGATCATATAATTTATCATTCAAACTGAATGCTTTTCAGAGTGAAGGGGACTGCCAGTGATAAATATGTTGGCATAACCAGAACTGTCCCAGGAAATCCAGGATGTAGGTCATCATACCTGATAGTCTGCTCCTCTTACGCATAAAATAAATTCATGTAACTTTTCATGTCTCATCGTGCCTAACATGACCACACTTTGTGTAGGAATCTCAACTCTGTGCATTTAAACATTTTAAAATTACGAACTCCCAAATAATTTACAGGCTCTAAAATAACCACTGCATCCTCTTCATGGATGGTAGAGTCATGAGATACTATACAAGTATTTGGTTATGTGATTACAATGAAGAAAAAAGGAAGGAGTTCTTCCTTTCTACCATATTTTTAGTCTTAGCATTTTGGAGCCATTTGTAAGATTTTATCACACAGCTAGTGCTATTCAGTGCATGCATATATTTTTCATAAACAAAACAATGCACTGCCGGGACAATTTCATACCAATATATTTTCCATCTGTGAGCTGTCATCCAAAGGGTTCCTTTATCTGAATATACTTTGCATTTTCTAGCCTGATGCTTTGTTTCAAGTTGTACTTCACCTGGAGAGACTTCCACATTTCCTTTGCCTAGAAAACTCCTATTTCACGTCCCATTTCCACACTTACAAATTTAAAGTAAAACTTTCCTCATTTTACTGCATTGTGATTGCTTCTCTTTCTGAACACATGCTATGGAAATCAAATGGCATGATGGAAAGAATGCTGAAAGGAACTGGAAGACCTGGGCATCTCATATGAAATCACAGGTGACACCTTTGGGGCAATTCTTTAACTGACCTGGACTTACTTTTCTTATTGGTAAGGGAAGTATTAATGTAACTCAAAGTGATACTAAGAATTATTGTTCTATGTTTGATGATGCATGTTAACTAGATTTAGTGTGGTGATAATTTTGCAACATATATATATATATATATATATATATATATATATATATATGATCATTATCTTGTACACCTGAAGCTAATATAATGTTAGGTGTAAATTATACTTCAATTCAAAATTGTCAATAAAAAATAATTGCTAACTTTTTAGGTATGTTATATTACTGTGGTCATGTATTATAAATAATACTCAGCTTTTCGAGATGCTACTAAAATTTATCAGTGAAATAACTTTATGTTTGGAATTTGCTTGAAAATAGTGTGGTGAAGGCAGGGAGGGTTAATTGATAATTGTTGAACTTGTATTATGGGGTTTATAATACTGATCTGTCTATTTTTAATATGTTTGAAATTTTTCATAGTAAAACATTTTTTTTAATATTCCAAGGTTCTTTCCAGCTCTAAATCTCTATGATTCTATGTTCAATAAATGGTGTATTCAATTAGCAATCAGTTGCATATTCTCTTGTGATACTTGTCATCATTTGACTATTTTTAGTTAATATTTCATAAGCACATGTCCTATTTGTTTGGCTACACATGACTTTTCTCTGATAATGGCCTAGGTTTGGTATAGCAGAATTCCCTTAATTGTATCTAGTCAACAAATATCCCCCTGATGAATAAGAGATCTGAGGAGTCAGATTCAAATATGATCTGAAGGGATTTAACAACACAAAATGAGACATTCTGAAAAATAACCTAAGATGTTTAGAGGTTAATATTGATGCACATCTCTTGCAAATTACCGCAAATGTTAAATTCAGATTTCTCTGGAAATACATATAGCTAATGAGCATTTTATATTTTGTCTGCGAGAGAGAAGTTTTGTTCAAAAATATTTCTGACTGCTTAGAGCATTTTAGGAATACATTATGAAATTCCTCAGTATATTGTGTGGAAAAAAATACATGAGTACTAATAAGCTTATTTCTCTGGAAGATGTAGAATTTAAATCAGTCTATTGCTGATATTTATGTACAAACTTTGAACACAAAATATTTAGCCTGCCAGCATCTGCCACTGCCACAGACAGATTCAGATCAGAAGGCCCAGTTCCTTCCCATGAATTTTAATAGAATGTACTAGCAGCTGAGGATTGGCCAGCACTTCCAAGTAGCGATGAATGGGAAGACAGATGGCCCTTGGAGTAACAGAAGGCCAAGTCTTCAAAGGTGGCAGGAGCCTGCATTCTCCAACAACAGCAGCATACTCACTCTCGATCTATAACCAGACATGCGACATCATTTTCCTCAGCAATGATGTTAGCTGATCTGACATCTTCACTGCAGACAAAAACAGGAAAGTCAGTTTTCTAGTGAGAAATTAAACATACATTTTTATTACGGAACCTGCTATTTGCATGAAACATCATCACCTAATCCTTCCAAAGATTATGCCTTTTTTTAACATCATAATATATACTCCACCCCTTTCCAAGAAAAATAAAAAAGCATGGACATGTGTCCTAATAAAGGTTAAGTGCACAAGGAATCCAGAGGAGAAGGTAACTGCACTGGGAACATAAATCAGTGACTACAGCCGTGTATGGAATTTCACTCTGTGCTCTGCGTCAGCCCAAATGAAATAGGTCTTTGATCAAACAGGAATTGCTAGTTAAAAAGCAGCCAAAATTGAAATTACCTGATCAAAGACATTTATAAGAAAACATTGAAGTAATTAACGTATAATAACCAATCAAAAAATAAAACCCAAAGAAAGTGTTTTTCATGCCATATCACCCAATGAATTAGGTAAATCTAAAATCTTTTATTTCATAGTCTAAGATGTATATTTTCCATTACAATCTCTGAAATCAATGCATGTCTTACAACTGACGATGAGTCATAGCGTAATTGTCTTTCTCGGGGGTACATAATATCATAATGCATCTTATAATTGATACCTTAGATATGAAGAATTATGACATATGATCTAATCATAGTATATTTAATTCCCTGATGAATACCAACGAGTCAAGCACTGGGTAAAGTCTTTCTTTAGAGAACTTTATTTATATTAGTTTCATCCTTCTATTAATTACAAACTAAAGACCCTGAAGAAAAGGTACATCCATGTGGTACCCAGTGCTCTGAGATTCATTTAAGGTAACCTGGAGCAGTAAGCACAGGAGGACTGCTCTAAGCAACTTCGTCAAAAATGGCATCACTCAAAGTATACAGTTGTTTTGTCTTCCCTTAGTGGTAGGACAGGGAAGACCTTGGCAGCCCGCTTCTCAGTGCAGAGAAGTCCCCTGTCCACATAGCCAGCATCCAGAGACTTTCTAACACAGTCCCTCCCAAGTTTACAGGGTCCTTGCTAGAAGACATTGGTGAAAACATTTCAGCTTAATGGGCTTTTGAGTTGGGAGCTGGGTAGTTTATACTCAACTGGTATGTGTAGATATCGATTTGGATATGGGCCAACTCTTTGATATGTGAGCTCAAAAATGAAGAGATATAGCAACCCTTTCACTTGCCAGTGTCACGATTTTGACTAGGAAATTCCTTTACAAAAAGTTTATGAGTATTAGAGGTTTACAAATACACATTGTTTTTTCATAATAATTGTTAAGTACCATGAATTTATTTTTGCATACAAAATGCTGAAAGAACTCCTGGGACTATTTAATGTCGAGTCATGGAAATACACAGAACGTAAAGAATACTGAGTCACAGTCAGCGGCCCCAAAAAGTGATAGCGTAAAAATGCACAAAAATGTAAACATATGTGTATCCAACTCTCTTTCTCATAGATTTTAGTTTTATGCTTTTAAATGCTTTGGGGAATGAGTGTCTTTATTAAATGTAAATTCTCATGTTTCTCATGGGAAAACACTGTAATTGGCTAGCTACAACATAGAACATAAATTATTTCAGATCCAGCATAACCAGACAGCATATTTCCTTTCAAGAGCTATTTTGAGTCTACAGTACATTTATAAAGTTCTCTGCACTTTCAAACTAATTGTTTTGCTTGGAGATATGAGAAAAATAATCTGTTAATGTTAAGAACAAATACACTGAAGTCTTGAATAATGATATTACACGATTATATTGCATGAATGTATTCATATTCTGGCACAAATAAACAAAAAAGGACAATTTCCCAATTATTGAAACAAGTTCATTACCAGCTAGAAAATGGGAAACAAAAACTCAACTTGTTTTTAAATTCAATTTTTTGTCTACCAAATAGCTATAACTTCACTTATTGAGTTTAAGTAGCTTAATTTTCTTTAAAAATAAAAGTTATATGACTTTTAAATAATCAAATTTGTCTTCAGGTAATTTGTGAATACTTTTTCTTTGCTCTGTACTTAATGTAATCCTGACATGTATATCAGCAGAACTGGGGCTTCACAGACAAAAATTAAAAAGGAAGAAAAATGAACAGAAATACTACTTATTTTATAAGCAAAGATATGAAATAAAAGCATTTAGTAATAGCATAAATTTTAAGTGATTTCTTAATAGTTTCAAGTATTCATTTAAAAACATATATGACTCCAAAAAAAGTGTCTTGCTCAAAATTCTGACTTTATAAGGTTATGTATATTTAAGAAATTTTTTTTCACATTTGAGGTTGTGTTCTGAGTTCCAAGAAGCACATAGTGTCTCCTGTGCTATTTGGTTAATCTTTATAAATGTTTCTCCTATAAGTTAGATCAAACAATAAATAAGCACATACCTCAAAAGGCCAAAGGTTCAGGGAGAAACTTTAAATACACTATTTTGAGTTGCTTCTAAAACTTGCAAAATGAGCTGATAAAAAGTCTTAAGAAAATATTACCTTTGGCATAATGATCTAAAAGCACAAAGAATATGTAAAGTCATTATCTGATAATTTTTAAAAGAATAAAACAAGGCAACATTTTAAAACTTCATAATATAAAAACTCTTACAGGAAAATTCTAGTTTTCATGTCTTCAATTTCTTTCTCTGACTCTCATTTAAACCAAAAATTATTAGAATTATTATTTTGGAACACCAATTTTATTTTCACCAGCAAACTTAAAACTTTCCAAATCACTTCCTATACAAAATTAATAAACTTATTTCCCATTTAACAATGAATTTTTTTAGAAGTCAGTGTAAAATTTTGGTTTAATTTCCAGATAATGGCTGCCATCAGTTTGGTAGCTCCATTCTACAGCTCCAAATGAGTAGGTATATGTGCAAACAACCAAAGAATTATTATTAAGTATAGTCTATAAATTCATAGATTCACCTGATAAGAGCTTTTTCTCCAAAGTATTCTCCTTTCTGCAGTGTTTTTATCAGTTGTGGTTGATCATGGCCCTCAGTACTCTGGGTGACTTTTACCTAAATGATGTCAAATAATTAAAAAGAGAGAGAGAGAAGTAAAGGAGAATCTAAACACATATCCATTCAGCCAGACCCTCCAGATCTACATAAACTTGACTGAACAAGGAAAGAGACAAGTCTTTGCTTCAATATTTCAGTAGTTAAGACTACAGTCAACTACAGTTAGACTAATCTAATTACAGTCAACTCATTTGGATGGACTAAAAAGGTCTGCCACCTAACATGATCACATGACTCCATCTTTTGCAAGAAGAAGCCTCTCCATACAAACTTCACCTCCCAAAGTTAATAAATTTGCTATGTGAATCCAGTTACTCCTTCCTAAGGATGGTCAAAGAAAATGATAATGATCCTGTGGGAACTTTATTTTTCCAAAAAGCCAAATAGAGTTGACAAATCAATCAAGAATAAGACTGAGTATCAGGAGTTCTGAACCCAGTGTCCACAACTGACTTGTTGATTCGTGTGGACTCTCTAAAACTGAATACAAACTGTGGATCTGGAGGAGGGTCCACAAGTCTCACAAGAGGCTCAATGTGATGGTTTAAGAGCCCGCATGGGAGAGCCAAACAAAAACTTTAACATTACTTGCTTGTGGCTAGAATTATTCCAGTTCAACATGGGAAGAAAGGTCGCTTCATATTGGTGAGAAATTCTGATTAGCATTTATGAAAGTTACAATAAATTAAAATTTTTTTAAATAATAAATGCAATTTATTTATCAGGCAGAATTCTTTCAAAACATGAGGTTTAAGTTGGTGAGAAATGATAAAAAGTGTTTCTGAGTGTTGAAAAGTTTCCAAAACTATTTTGTGAACTTTTTTCCCATCACTGGGGGCCTAGTTCAAAGTTCAACCACGAACCAGTTTACAAAGGGCAGTGCCCGACTCTCTGATGATAAAACTCTTTCATAGAAGAAAGAGCATTTATAAAAATCTGGCAGTTTATGGACACAGGTGCTCAAGATTTCATTCTTTCCTTCGATCTTTCACAAATGCTTTTTGTCTCTGAGGAACATTGTAAAGAGCCAACGTGGGAGCAACTGACAAAATGTTATCCACTCAATATCTAGGTAAAGAAAAAGATCTGTAGCCTACATCAGGGTAAACTTTTCATCAGCATCTAAATCAGCTTGAGCTATTGTATACAATTTGAAGTTCTGAGACACACTGTTCTCCAGCTTGATGTCTGATCACTGCTGCCCTCAATTGCCTAGTTCATTTTCTTCCACTGTTGTCTGTCGTATCTGTGGGGTGGGAAAATGTTCCAGCCCCGATCTTGGGCTGGGAATCACACAGTCATAGCTAGAAGGGATGTTAGAAATAATCCAGTCATTTTATACACGATGAAACCAAGTCTAAAGAATGTCAAGTGACCTGACTAAAGTCACTAGGAAGTTACTGTCTCAGCTGGAACCCATCACAAGTCTCTTGTGGCCCCAAACCCAGTGCTCAGACCAAACCCTCCCAGGATTTTTGAGCAGAAGCTCCTTTACCCAGCTCTACACAGGGGACTTAGGCTGCAATGTTGGAACATTGCTGTGTGTATGGCAAACAGATTCAAAACAATTTTTTGATTTACTTTAAGTAAGCTTTCATTAATATTTACCTTTCCTTTTGCTAAAATGAAAAAGGTACTTCCTTCCTCGCCCTCTCTAATTATGTAATCTCCTTTGTCATAGTATTCCTATTGGGATGAGAGAAAAAGAAAACGTTAGATGCAGTGGAGACATTCAGATGAAGACATAAATGAAACAGAACTCCCGTGTCTTTGAAATGAGCATTCCACACCGTTTCTGTTATTGTTTGCTTATTGTAACCGTGATCTTTTTAAACATTGTAGTCACAAACCATGGAAAAGTTAAGGAGACTCTTACTTTATTATCTGCATTTACATTTATCTGTCACAGAAAAAAAAATTCCCTTGGAATAATGAATTTCAGGCATGGACACTGAAGACATGAACCAGGCAGTCATCACTGATACGTAGGTAGGCTTCCCCAAAATAATCTAAATATAAACTCTTTGATGATCTGCAACAGTCTGAAACTGGGTCTAGAGTTTAGAAAAAATGACAAACATTACCTAATAAGTGGAAAATGTAACCGCAAAAGGATATGAGGAACATCAACCTCAGTTTCTAATTCCTTGCAGAGAAATGGTTGGGAAAATTCTATATACACAGTGAGGAGTTCTTTCATATAGATTCCCTCCAAAGATTTATCATCACGGAAGAACAACATTAGAATTTTTCACTTGTAAATTCCATTCATCAATGTAGGTTTATCCTCATGAAACCCCAAACTGTCACTTGTTTCTTTGTTTCCCTCATATATGTGTGTGTAATCAGAGGATTGAGGGGCAGGGAAAAGTAATTCATCTACCTGTCAGATCAAAAGAGCAATTCAGTCTCTTAGAAAATAAAAGATGGATTAAACTGTCCATTCCTACTTTGCTTTAATTTGATATTGTCTCAAAGTCATAGAACTAAAGTAGATCTCTTAATTATTTATACAAACAAAACTGGTCTTGTTTAATTTTTTTAAAGGCATACCTAACATCATAGCACTCTCTTGTTTTTCTTTTAGACTTGAAAAAATCCAAACAAAACTGCTTTTGTGTCTATCATATTTCAGTTATTTTTGGGTCCTGTACTCTTAGAACATATTTACATTTATGGAATAAATATTACTACTAATACTAATAAACATACCTTTTATTCACATAGCACTATGTATATTTTACAAGACATTTCAAGATCTCATGGAAGGAAGCATAATATCTTAGGGGAAAAAGCACTTTGAATCCATAGAAATCAAGATTCAAATCTCAGTTCTGCTCTGAATTTCACTTCCACCAATCCAGAAAATTTAAATAAGAACATTTACTTTCAAGGACTTAGAGAAGATGGCACATTAGTTTTTTTTTATTGCTGCTGTAATAAATAACCACACACACTTAGTGGCTTAAAACAACACTCATCTGTTATCTCAGTTTCTGTGGGTCAGCAAGCTGAGGCACGGCATGGCTCAACCGGGTTGCTCTGTTTGGGGTCTCTCAAGACTGAACTCAGGGTGTCATTGGGGCTGTGTTCCTTTGTGGTGCCTCTGGGGAAAAAAAATCCACTTTCAAGCTTAATGAGGTTGTTGGCAGAATTCAGTTCCTTGCAATTGTAGAATAAGGTTCCATTTCCCTGCTGGCTGTCAGCCAGGAGCTGCCTCATAGTTCCTAGACTTCTCTCTTGCCCCTGCATGGAACCCCTTATGTTTCAATACCAGAAAGGGCATGTAGAATTCTTCATGTACTTGGAATCTCTCTGACTTCCACTTCTGCTACATTTCTCTGACTGCAGCCAGAGAAAACTCTCTGCTTTTAAGGGCTCATGTTCCTGAATGATTCATATTTGGCCCACCTAGATAATCCAAGATAATCTCTATTTTAAGGTCCCAAATCTTAATTAAATCTGCAAAGTTCCTTTTGCCATGTCATACAACATACTCATGTGTTTCAGGGTTTAAGGTCTGGACATTTTGGAGGGGGTCCCTTCTGCCTCCCACAATAAGCTAATTAAAGACAATGGTTTTTGGAGAACTGAAAGCCCCTGAACCATGGTAAATACTCAATTAATGATCACCGTGTTAAGGAGGAAGATGAGAATGGTTTGCTTAGCTGTTATTTCAATATACTGAACCTCAGTTTCCTTTTCTGTAAAATTCAGATGGTATGATCTACCATTCCTAATGATGTTTGTGGACTAGGTGAGACAGTCACCTGGTGACTGTTAATTTCTGTGAAAGAGGCTGTGAGCTGGTCATCAAAGTCTTCGACAGTAATACACAGCCATCCAGGTAAACTGCATCCCCCAGCCTCCCTGCTGTTCACTGCAGCCATGTGATTAACTTTTAGCTACATGAGTTTGAGCAGAAGCAATGTATGTCCTGCCCATGCCAGGCCTATGGACCGGTCCAAGGCTGTGTCTTCATACATTTCCCCAAACTGTAATGGCATGGCCCTGAGAGATTTTGGGAGTGGGACAGTATTGAAGATGGCAGAGTAGCCATCAGCTTGAGTTCCTGAATAATTCTATGTAGCTAACCAGGCCTAGCCTCCCTGGACTGTTATGTGAGCAAGAAACACACTTTTATTCTACTCGGAAAATAACATTTTGAGTCTTTTCCATCACAGTCTGCTTACTCCAGCACTCTACTTCTTCTCATTATAGCTCTGTCACAAGCCTTCACTATATACACACAAGCTCGCTTTACCATCGAGATGACCATGACACCGCGGTTCAGGGCTCTTCGTCATAGAGCTAACATTCAGTTCTTTTTACTAAAACTGCCGGGGTCATGTGAGACTTTCCTGTTTCAGACAGCCTGCTCTTGGATCTGTTCCCATCTTAATTTCAGTCCCCATCACCCACATGGAACAGAAGGAATCTAGAGAATTCCTCAAGTGCTGGTGGGCTGTTCTTCAGCTATTATAAAGTCTCTGGTCTTCACAGACGGGCAGCTTTAACTCCTGCCAGTCAGATAAGTTAAAAGGGAGAAGCTGGAAAGGCAACACTGAGAAAGGGCTTTGCTGTTTCTTAAGGGGCAACCTTCCTAGTGGTTTTTTTCCCAGGGATTAGTCTTTGTCACCCAAAACCATGGGAGGAAGATAAATAATACCTCCCAGTGTGTTGACAGTAACTTCATAGAGCAGAAAAGGCCGTGGATGTAGGTCAGACCAAAAATACATAGTGGTAAGTACTGGCTACGATGCTAGACTGGCCAGTGTTTGTCAAATGGGGAGAGCAGCCAGTCCAGCCAGGGTGGTCACCAAGACCAAAAAGAGACATGCAAACAGTGTGGTTTACTGTCCTGTGTTACATTGCAAAGGGGTCCCTTAGAGGACCAAGAAGCCATAGACCCTATCCTGTGGGGTGGTGGTTTTCAAGCAGTTTTTACTCTGAATTACAGTAAGGAATACATTTTACATGTACACCCAAATACCTACATGCAAGTGTACACACACATACTTATATAAAACTGAATCATATTTAAACAATACTTATGATCAGTACTCTGATTTTTTTAAAAAGTGTTCCTCTAAATTGATTTCATGACCCAGTAATGAGTTGTGATCTACAGTCTGAAAAAGTTGTTCTAAAAGATGATATTTAGAAACACCGAGAGTGGTTACTTAGTGTATGGCAAGAAGGGAAAATCAGGAAATCAATTCCACGGCAGACTGAATGGCAGAGGTCAGAAGAAAACTACACAAATAGCAACAGCGAAAGATGGAAAGAGTTCTTCATGTAAAGAATTGCTCATTCTGTGCTAGCTAGCAAAATGCTAGAGCCTCAGTGCCTGTAATAGAACATACAAAACCAGAAATAAAATCCAAGGCGATGGAGGGCAAATCAAAGAAGCAAGCCTATAACCTCCTTGGAGTCTTTACTGTGTGGTTTGAAATCTTCATTCCAAAGAATTATTGATGATACACAATCAGCTGTATGATACACACACCACACACACACACACACACACACACTCTGCATCATGTGACTATATACCTAAGTTGATTGTTTAAAAAATTGCATACAGTTATCTGGGTCTGTTACCAACTATTTTTTGTTTCTCCAAGTATGATAGTTAAAACATTTTAGAAACTTTAAAGCAAACACATGTACATCAGTGGACCCTATCAACCATTCAGGCAAAACATAGTACCTGATTGCTTATTTCTAAGGAACCAAAGTCTACAGAATGAAAACCAACAGAAATTCCTTTTAAGGTGAGCCAACTGTGTAGAATTCTGTAATTGAAACACTTGAAAGAGCCCGTAGAGATGGGACCCACCCAGCACTCCCTTATTTTACAGCTGCGAAGACCCTGATGCCCACCACAATTAACTGACAGCTGCTAGGAACAGGGGTTTGACCATAAAACCTAATCACCAGACTTTGGACTAGCTAACTTTCTACAACACCTCGTTGCCCCACCTTTAACTAACTGGTCCATAAACTGGCAAAATCCACAATTATCTCAACTTTGTATGGTTCTGGATGTAATCATTACAATGAGAAAACCCCTCTGACTTTCGCAAGTGTTAGCAAGAACTATAAGAAAGGAGGACTAGAGACTTTTAACAAACGATTAAAAAAAAATAAGAAATCCGTGAATGAAGAGGTAGAATATGGCAAACTCTAACCTATGTGTGTTCTGTTCATAACTTTAAATAGTGCTTCTCAAACTTTAATAAGCCAAAGAATTGTATAGCTAAAATGATAAAATGTGGATTTCTGGGTCCCTACCCCAGTTTCTGATCCAGTAAAACTGTGAGGTTGGACCTGGGAATCTGCCTTTTAAGCAGCACCGCTGATGATCTGACCAAGGAGGACCTGCCACACTCCCCACCCCCAGCCCGTTCCCACTATGCCTCCAGGTTCATGAAAGATGCCACACAGGAGTCGCAGGGCAGAGGGTCAAATACCAAATCTCTGTAACAGAGAGTTAGGTGACTTTTCAGTCAGCCACACAGTCAAATCCCATGCTTCCTGGATCAATCACCACGAGTGGAAACAGACACTCCTTCCACTCTGGTCTTCCATACTGCACAACTGCCAGGTGTGGAGGTCACATGATCGTTTTCATTATCATCAGTAGTTACACAGCATTCCGAATCCGTATTATGTTTTACGATGGTCATTAGTTAACTCTTAGGGCACACTAGTGAATATGTTGATACCACTTCCACTCTCCTTTTCCCATTAGAACACAAGAAGAGGTTGAAAGGCGATGTCTGCCTCTAGAACTGAATGCTCTGGGTGATTTAAGCTGAAGCAAGAAATGCTATTGAAACACTGCACATTCTGGCTATTTGGTCTATGAGTGCAACAGATGAAGTCTTAACAGACACATCAGATCAACTGCTTGGTGATGAGAAATTCTGATCCCCCTTCCCCGCCTCCTGCACAAAAATTAAAAACCACCCCCAATCAACTCCTAAATAGCACACCAGACTCAGTCTGTTTTCTCAAAGATTATGGAGCCAGTTTGTGGGACAGCTGGTCCTGGAACTCAGCGGGTGCTCTGTCATAACTCTGATGCATTAGTGATTGGCTGTTGTCAGGACCCTGGTGATGGGTCATTAGTCCAACCTCTGCTGGCAATTTATGTGCTTTTCTTAGCGCTAAATAGATTCCACTACTCCCTTGTTAATCACTTTCGAATTTGAGAATTTTCACACATTACAGAGACACGTTTGTTTGCCAGGTATGAATAAAAAGCCCTTTATATACTGTGCTGCTGTCTGCAAATGCTAATATGTAATAAAGCCTTTCTAGGCTGGTTTTAAAAGATGAGACTTTCAAACTCAAACTGTGTGTTAATTAATACTAGGTTTGAGCCCCCATCTACATATTCTATAGCTGTTGCCTGCGGCTGCTATAAATATGTCTAATTTACCATTTATTTTTAATGACACTAAATTTTAATATTTGCTGTCAGCATGGAATTCCCCTCTGGTGAATCTACTCTATTAGTATTATATTAAAAACAGATTTCCTCAGTTAACAAAAAAAATAGGGCCTCTACAGCTTTAAAAAAATATTCAGAAATTAGAATGAATTATTAATTTGTAACATCTGTGATTGGGTTATGTTACACTGAGAAAATCCCGAGAGGTGCAGGGCAAGCAGCCCTCTTGAAAATGACTTCATATCTGAAAGCTCTGGGGACACAAGGCCAGGCACTGTGTCATCATGGCCCGTCCTTGATAAACTGCTGGATGGGCTCCATGAATTGTAAATGGAAACATTACTGGTGTCACTTACACTTAAGGATAAAATGGTCAGTACTCCCTTCTCAACAGATATTAGTTTACACTGTATATTGTGATTGACAGAAGCATGAATCTATCAACAATCAGTCTTGTCTCCCACTGAGAACAGCTTTATAAAAGCTTAAAGTCTACATGCGACTCCTTTACTATTCCATACCTCCTTTAAATTCCCCAAAAGCCATTTTGCTTTCAATGAAATTAACTCTCAAAAAAGTTAGAGCGAGGTTAACTTTGAATATTAATCTCTGAAGAGGTTCTCACATACTGCATATTATTAGAATCCAAGGTACATGTCATAAAAGCATTATTCACGAAAAGACTTGACTAGTCTTGGACTAGAACCAACCATCTGCGTGATGCCTAACATGAGTATTTGAACACATTCCAATATGCTGTTTTTCCCGAGATGTTAAAATAGGTACAGTGCTTCTTAAGCACAGGGGGATTTTTTTGTTTTGTTTTTTTTAATGTCTTTTCATAGCCTGGAGTTTTCAAGTATGGAGTGTCTCATAGCCTGATTCAGGAGACTATCACAAAAGCTCCAGTATACCCTTTCTCTTCTCCATTACCTAATTAGGCATCACTACCTCCTTCATACTATGAGCTCTTTAAGGGACTGTGATGTTAATTGCAGAAAATCAAATGCCTCTTGAGTGAGGCAGATTGGTTTTCTCAAATATACTAAAAAAGATTAAAATACGTAAGTCAAATATCACTTTACACATGCAAATCCAATTTTCCTTTATACATTTCAGAAGAGTGCCCTAATCCCACCCCAGCCCCCTTAATTCAGTGTGAGCTGACCTAAGGGTTTTCACAATAGTAAAAGGCTCCTGGTCTCCATGAACTAGCGACCACCATCTTTTCCTTCTTTTTAATGTACAGTGCTAATAATGACTAGATTATGCAATCTTTTAATGAAATGCATTTTTTAACTTTAAGATTTCTTACCACTTCCAAGCAGTCAATGATCTTGGTTAATTTATCTTCAGGTAAATTCTTCAGCAAGGATACACTACAAAATTTTAAAAGAAACCTTTATTTAATTCTCTTCCTGAATTAAACTAGAAATGCACACCTATATGTAGATTCAAACACCTTTGCATGCATTTAAAAAGACACAATGCCCTTTAATTGTTCCAAAGTAAACCGCCAAATATATTACCCATAAATAACTGAATTTCAAATACATTTAAATTATATAATTATATTTAATCACAGACATTTCTTATAGGCAAATAAATAAAATTAGTAAGATAATATAAAAAGAAAAAAATGAAATTTTGCCTCTTTGGGGAAAAAAACATTTTACATTGGTTGTTGGTTTTCAAAGTGAATCACATCCAGAAATGTGCTTCTCTCCCCATCTCAATATCTCTTTTATTAACATGCATAAGGAGCTCCCTCCTTCCAGAGGAGGATCAGATTTTCATCTAAATCCTTATAATTAAGTAAAGACTGAATCTAGGAAGGAAGGTAGGAATCAGCATGGAAATGATCTTTGATTATTAGTCATATTGTACTGTCTTTTAAAGTGAATGGTAGCCGGAGGCATGTAATCGCAACACTTTTACAGATAATAATATACAGAGAATGAAATAGAATACTGAAACTTTTATTTGAAAAAAACCCCAGAAATTCCACTCAATATGATTAACCAATCAATGTGATTCAATTATTCTTTTAAAGCAATTTGTCTTCTATTTTACCCATTTTTCACACAGGACTGTTGATAGAATTTCTATAAGATGAATACTTCTTTCTTACCATTTCAAATTTGATACCCCTAAGGAAAAAATGATGCTCCTCCAAAAACACGTGATCAGGTCTGAGTTCTGAAAAGAGAGCTCTAGACTGACACTTGCTCACGCGCACCAGGAGGCATGGAGCCAGGAGCCAGTGTATAAGAATTGTTTGTAACTGCAAAACACTGAAACACCACCAATGGGAGAGCAGATAAATGCACTGTGGTCGAGTCACTTAAGAGAACTCTTCAAGAGGAGAAATGACTAAATTAGCCAAATAAATGAATCTTAAAAAAGAGTGGGAAAAAAGCTGAGTTGCAAAAATGACACCAATTTTGTAAAGTTCAACAATAGGCTAAATGAAGCTATAGGCAAAATAATAAAGAATACCAAGGGTATGATCACTGAACCTCAGAATAGAGACTACTCCAAGGAGCGGGGATACCCCAAGGAAGGCTAAGAAATGACATGGGGGTGCAAACGAGAGCTCCAAAAACATGGCTGACTTTCTACTCCTTAGAATGATGGCGCTCATTTTGTTATTATGTTTTATAACTTTTTTTGAGATTACCTATACTTAGGTAGACCCCACAATATGATGCTAAGGCACTGTCTGGCCTATAGGCAAGGCACCTGCTTGCCATTATAGCAGCTCTCTGCCAGAAGCTCTGACTGTGTCCAGGAGACTAGATCAGCAAGCGTTCATACGAGAAATCTTAACGCCTGCAATGTTCTACTGACTAACAATGCCTTCATTCAATAGTCATCAAGTCCTCACTATATGCTAGGCACTGCACAGCCCTAAAATCATTGGCTAGGCAGGTTAGTTATGCACGATAAAAACCACTATACTTAAAAAGACCTAAGACTTTATTTTGGAGAACCACAGAACATGTTAGTATTACTACCACTTATCATCGGTTACATTTCATTACAAGCTGTACTGCAGCTTCAGGGACTGTGAAACCTCCCATAAAGCACACAGAAATAGTTTAAATGAGGAACTTTCCAAACAAAATTTTTAACGCGTAGCTGACTTTTTCAGTTACATAGGTATTTGTTTCTCTTTAACTTGATGCGTCCAAGTTGTTGGGGGTTCAGAACAGTTGACAAGATGTGTATATTCCAAGGATCCATGTCATCATGGCAAGCATAATAACATTTTGGGCAAGTTAATCTGCCATAAGTAATAGTAATCTGGAAGATGGTGTGGCTATGTAAATGAGGGAAATGTTTCAGGTAAAGAAAATGAATAAGGATAGTAAAAGAAATTAATTTTAATACTATTCTAAGCAAAGCAGTATGAGAAAGATTGTCTTTTGCTATCTACTTCTAAATTACAGGATGTCTTTCAAAGTCGACTGAGAAACCCAAGTGAATGTTTTAGGATATTTTTTGCACATTTTGCTATACTATATACAATGACTCCATCAATAGAAGGGCAAAATTAGCAAGAGAAATAAATCAGTGAACAAAGCTAATAATTTAATATCAGCAGCACATACTGCAAGAGAATACTTTTGCTCCTTTGGTTGAATCATGTGAAAAATGCTTGAATAAGAAAAAAAGCTATAGTAAAAAAAATTACTTGGATAAAACCAACATCCCCACAATCTGGCTACCCCATCTTCTGCTCTTTCCGCTGCCAATGTGTTTTTCTTACCTTCTGAGGAAGTTTCTGTACTGTTCATCTCGAGCTTGAGCTGTCCTTCTCATTATATTCTGGAACACCTCTCGATCTAGTGCCCATGTTTTAACATTGGTAATAGCTTTAGAAGAGTCAAGAAAATAATAAAATATTGTTTAGCTCTTCCATTAAGAAAACATTCCAAAATGTTCATCAATAAGTTTTTCATATACTCTCATAAAATGATAGATCTTGGAAAATGAATTATTTAAGCATGCAAATGGAAGGAAGTAGTGATGTAAAGAGTAAGCAACTTTATAAAATCATTTTTGGCTTTGAAATGAGCCATGATTTGGAAGTGAGCAGCAAAAGATTTCCTTTCTAATTATGTTTTGCTTGGGATGATATTAAAATTAGTTTGCAAATCCTAATTATACACTGCATCATCAGGATGTATTTTAGATTTGTGCTGTGATACAATGCGATACAAGAGAAAGCTAGCCAGCCTGCAGTCAATTCAGAGAGTAAAGAATTCATACCTAGATAACTGAAAGCTAAAGATCTCTGTATGTGAGTATGTTTTTATGCCTTTTTATGTTGTTTAGACATTGTTGCTAATGAGAGCCAATATATTTTAAGAATCTCTATGGTTACTTTTACTTAAAATATATAAAATCATTTTCAAAGAGATTATGCAAGACAGTTTTTGAGAAAACCTCTTCATAGGAAAGACATTAAAAGCAAGAATAAAATCTACAAAGAAAGAGGAGCAGAAGTAGCAGCTCTAAAAAGTCTACATGAAATTATGGTAGAAATATATTCTTTTAAAGGAGTGATGAGAACTGAAAAAGTATATCAAACCCCAAATCTCTGGTTTACTAAACTTTAAAGTGAATTAGAATTATTTTGACATTCTTTATTTTTATTTTTGTATTTATTAATTTTTTAATTGAGGTATAATCAGTTTACAATGTTGTGTCAATTTCTCATGTACAGCACAATTCTTCAGTGATATGTGAATATACATATATTCATTTTCATACTCTATTTTGACATTCTTGTTAAAAATAGAGATCCCTTGTCCCTATTGTCAGAGATTGTTTGGAGTGGAGCCTCAGAATCTGCATTTTTATCAAATACGGCAACAGTACTAACACACATAACCTGGTCCCAAACCTTGAGAAACACCACATCTAAGTAATTCAGAAGAAAACCTAATACTACCATGAATAAAGTCAATAAAAATAAGAACCCTAAGGAGAAGCAATGGAAGTAATCCCAAAAGTCACTCATGAGAACTCTCATTAATTAATTCATATCCTTTTTGATATTTATACATTTTCATTGGTTTAATTAATGTTTCTGGTTTATAATATGGTCAGAACCTCATGGAGAAGAGAAAGCAAACATTCTAGATGAGCCAAAGGCAAATATCTACATAGTGAAAAAGTGAAGTGGCAACTAAAGCAAACATTGGAATCAGTTCTGTTTAAAGCCATAATCATATTTTATACACAGGTATCCGATGGACAGGTTTTTAAAGCTTGAATCATTTAGACAAGTGCTTCAATATAAATCCTTTTATAAGCATAATATTTCTATTAATAAGAGAATATGGGGCACAATGGGAGATAAGAAGACTCAGGATGCAATAATGACAGATTATCTTTATCATTGTAATTATTTAAAAATACAGCATTTCCTCTCCTGTTACCTTTCACAGAGGCGGTCCTTGTACAGTTGTATAAAATGGCTAGTTCCCCAAACGTGGTCCACATAGGGATGGATGATAGCAATTTCTCCCCTTGGAACACCTCCAGTCGACCCTCTATCAAGAAGGATGCAAGAAAACACAAATAATCAAAATCCACCTAGATTCCATAAATTTAAAAAAATAAAACAATCAGAAAGTACACAAAACATAGAGGTAAGATATGATTCTCATTATAGGAAAGCAGTTAAGAGGGCAGACTGAAGCCAGCTCTGCCACTTACTCACTGTTAGCTGATTCATCTTGAGCTACCCACTCTGCCTGGGTTCCTCGTCAATAATGGGGATAATATTAATAATAATTATTTCATACAGTTGTGAGAAGTAAATAAGTTACTATAGAAACCGATCATAGAACCATGGCTAGCGATAGTAAATGCCATGTAAGTGTTAGCTATTGTTAACATTATCATTGTTACATAGTTCTTTTCCTGAAGCAAGTATTTTACTTAAAATTCATTCTACCTCATGAAAAATGTAGCACATTAAACTATTTCTCTTGTACAAGGAACACAGCAATAACTGCATGTCTTGAAAACACAGAAGAGGTGTCCACACTGGCGGAAGGACTAACTTGTCATAACTGAGAAGTGCCCTGACCCTGGAGTCAGCCTGCCTGGATGTGTGACCTTGGGGAAGTTACTTCACCATGCCTTGCTTGTTGACTAATCCCTCAATCACTGCAACGAATTAATACACGAAGTCACTAAGAAGAGCGCTTGAGAAAAATAATACCAAGAGAAACAAAAGACAAGTCAGAGACTGAGAGAAACATTTTCCTAAAAGATACATCTGATAAAGGACTGTTCTACCAAATATATGCAAAGAGCTCTTAAAGTTCATTAATAAGAAAACAATCCAATGAAAAAAATGGACCAAAGACTTTAGCATTGACCAAAGAAAATATATGAAAAGATGTTCCACGTCATATATCATCAGGAAAATGCAAATTAAAACACCAATGAGATACCAATGCCTATTAGAATGGCCAAAACCTGGAGCACTAACAACACCACATGGTGGAGAGGATGTGGAGCAACAGGAACTCTTATCTCTGGTGGGAATGCAAAATGGCACAGCCAATTTGGAACACAGTTTGGTGGTTTCTTACAAAATTAAACATACTCTTACCATACAATCCAGCAACTGTGCCCCTTAGTATTACCCAAAGGAGCTGAAAACTTAGGTCTACACAAAAACCTGCACACAGATGTTTATAGTAGCTTTATGCATAATTGCCAAAACCTGGTAATGACCAAGATGTCCTTCACTGGGTAAATGGATAAATAAACTGTGGTACATCCAGACAATGAAATATTATTCAGTGCTAAAAAGAAATGAGATATTAACCCAGGAAAAGACATGGAGGAAACTTAAGCTGAGCATATTACTAAGTGAAAGAAGCCAATCTGAAAAGGCTAAATACTGTCTGATTCCAACTATACAACATTCTAGAAAAGGGAAAATTATGGAGAAAATAAAAAGATTAGTGGTTGCCAAGGGTGAGGGGTGGGAGATGAATAGGCAGAGCATAGAGGATTTTTAGGGCAGTGAAAATACTCTTCATGATACTATAATGATGGATACATGTTATTATACATTTATCCTAACTATAGAGTGTTCAACACCAAGTATGGACTTTGAGTGGTTATGATGTATCAATGTAGGCTCATCCTTGATTAAAAAAAAAAAGTACCATACTGGTGAGTGAAGTTGACAACAGGAGAGGCTATGAATGTGTTGGGGGCAGAGGGTATATGGGAAATCTCTGTTCCTCTCTATCAATTTTGTTGTAAACCTAAAACCTCTCTAAAAATTAAAGTCATAAAAAGGAAAAGGAAGAGGAGTCCTTGACACTAATCTTTAAATAAAGGTTGGGGGAAGGAAGAGGCAGAACTTGAGGCAACTTCCTCACAATTCTTTTGCCCCAGCAATTTGCTTCTCCTTTCTCTTCAAATAAATAAAGCCTTACCAAACCAAAATCATATGCAAAAAGACCTATATTCTTAATGGAAGAAAATGGTGGGGTCATTTCTCTTCCCCTTCAAGAATTAGTCTTTCCTTTCTCCAAATCACCACTAAGTAGCTCTGGGTCATCACTGTCCACTCATTCATTCAACAGATCTGATCTGAATACTTATGTTGTACCAGGAACTAGTCCAGGTGCCAGAGAGATAGTGTAGACAAAACAGAGATGATATTTATTCTGTTAGAATTTATATTCTAGTAAGAAATAAATTCTGTCTTGGCTCTGAATTTTATAGGTTAGATATACAATTTAATTTTTAATCATTACAACTAAATTCTATTCCATTGAAACCACTTAGTTGTACTGTTGAGTTGATATTGTAGATCTTATGCATTTTAAGTTTCCTTTCTAGTTGGTTATGGCTCATGGGACTTGCAATACTGAACAGTTATATGGAATACCAAAAATTTAAGCTAAATATGATTTTACCTTTTGTTATTCATGCTATATTTCATAAAAGAGAGATTTCAAAGTAACAAACTAATTTGCTCAATCAATTAAATCACACAGTTCAATTCTTAGATAACACCATAATCAGTTCAACTGAGAAACCACCCAATTTTCATTTCCATGTGTGCTATAGCCCTGACTTTAATGGCTGTATTGATGCTGACTTCTGTTCAAACCCTTCTCTCCTCAAGCCTTTCATCAGAGTTATTGACAAGCAACCAGATGGGTTGATATGAGTTTCTCATCCTTTTCCTAGGAGGTTCCATAAATAGTGGTTGACTTAATGACCAGAGGGAATGATGATTCTCTCGCCAGAATACTCTCGTGTTACTAAAATAGAAGTGAAATGGCCAACAGAAAAGTTGAAAGACGGGAACGTTGCTCTGGGTCACCTGTCCCTAAAATTTGAAGGCTTGGCTAAATTAAGACTATAATTCACTGCTTGGATAGAATTGCTTGTGAATGACTATAATTTTAAGGATGTCTACAAAGATGTATATGGCAAATAATACACCAATAATTATGAAACTGGCATGTTTAAAGAATCAAAATATAGAAAACAATCTTTTATACACTACGAATAGAATAATACACATTTATTAATTTCTTTGGACAGGCAACTTCTGCTCCATATGTAAGGCCTCAAAGAAACAAAAGTCATAAAAGCATTACATTGCCAGGACCTATAGTGCAAAATAAAAGGCCACAGCTCATCCCAGGTTACCATTCTATCTGAGCAAGCCAGCTTAATCTTTTTCCCTAAAACTCAAAGAGTTGGGGCAGTTCAGAACTTGACAGGGCACTCAGTAACCATAAGCCCTGTTCAGATAATTTCTTGCCTCTATATCTAAAAAATAATTTGTTGAATTCCACTATAAGATTTATTATGCATTTGATATGCATTTGAGAAATAAATCCTTTGCCTATCTAACCATTATAATCTACCCAGCATGGAAGCATGTTAAAGTGATCATATATGGAGAAAGCCATTTAAATGGTTCTAAAAATACCAGTCTTGGGAAGAGGGGTATAGCTCAGTGGTAGAGTGCATGCCTAGCATGCACAAGGTCCTGGGTTCAATCCCCAGTACTTCCTCTAAAAATATATAAATTAATTAATTAGAAAAATAAACCTAATTACCAATACCCCCCCAATAAGACACCAGTTTTAATCTTAAGGCATTCTATTTGATTCATCTCTTGGTTAAATGTACCTAAATTATCTTTTGAAATCATTGGTATATTACCAAAACATTTTAGAGAGTCACAAAAATAATTGTTTTCTTTTTCCTGGTACAACAATATAAAAAGGTCAACACAAGCAGAAGTACTGTGAATACTTTCAAACACTTTTTTGTGATTGTTGAGTGAGTAGCACTGTGATTAAAAGTGCAGACTCTTGAGTCAGATTGTTTAAATTTGCATTCAACCCTCACCACAATGAGCTGTGTGGCCTTGGATAAATTACTCAATCTCTCTGGGACACAGCCCACATTAGTAACATTAAAATAGTAACATTAAAATTAGTAACATTAAAATAGTAACATTAAAATTAGTAACACATTAAAATAATAGCTCCTGCCTAACAGAGTTGGTGAGTTGAAATGAGATCTCTCTATTAAGAACTCAATAGGATGCTTGACACAGAAAGCATTCAGTAAATGTTATCCGCATGATGATTAGAGGACCATGATATATTAAGTATTATCACTATGATGACTAGGGCAACAATATTACTATTTCATGAGCTCAATTTGTTATATTTTCTACAAATAGAGCAAACCATTTTGCATTTTTATAAATGTCTGCACAAAGTTATTAAACAACAGGCAAATGTTTGTTATATAATGACTAGACAAATCTGTAAAACCCACCTGCCAGCACAAAGATATGGTTTCCTGGTTCTCCTTGCTTAATAATGTAACTCCCTTGCTGGTAGTTTCTCCCATACATGCATTCCACCATGTCTTTGATCTGCTGAGGATCCAGTCTCTTCAGAAACTGATTTTTATTAAGGGCATCTGTAATGAGTTTCTTCTCACTGGTGTAATGGAAGGGAGATGTTAGTTACAATTAGTGAAAAGTCATGTTTTGCTCTTTAGATTCACTTCCTTTTTATTCTTGACATTACTACCTATGTATTTACAACATTTCCATCAAGGACAATTTTGTTTTTCTATTCCCACCAACATCTGACCCTTATAACTACCGTATTTTACTTGTAAATCCTTTGAAAATGTTTTCTGTTTCTGGTAATCATCATTAAATCAATGTCATCATCACTCCTAACTGTCATCATCACAAATGTAGCATCTTTCAAGATCCCTAGATGCAAAATTAATGGACACATGACTTTTAGATGGAAAGCAAGTCTGGTTGGCAGGTAGAAGGTGTATCTAAAGAACTGTAACACAGCATTCATTCATTGACATATACACACATGCCTAATTATATTTTACTTAATCCTCACCACTATCCTGTGAGACACTGACTATTCCCACTTTATAGATAAGTAGACTAAAAGCTAAGAAGCAGCTTATTCTCCCCTAGGATTTAAATCTCAGTCTGTGAGTCTGAAGTCTATGCTGCTTCCATTACATCTATTGCCTCTTCTGATCTGGGGAAGTCAGCTCCCCTGGGACTCATAAGGTTTGATCAGATGTAGAGGGTGATGGTGGTAGTTCAGGTTTGCCTACATTTTGACTCTCAGTATGTCGAGACAAATCCCACATTTCCAATCTTACAGCCTATTCATTCCCCAAATCCAAGCCTACCTGATGATAATCCTAGAACACTCTATTTTCTTTTGGAAAAGAAGTACTTCAAAATAATTACCTAATCTTCATCACTGTAAATTTCAAATGTTCTAATTACCATACCTTATATGTATATATCATAGCGCTGGAAGAAAAGTTGCCTCGTGGGCTAAGCAAGAATCTGCACAATATTTGCTTTCATTCAAATTCAGCATGATTTTGTTAAATAAGGGTTTTTTTCTGTATTTTTCATTCAAACTCTCTCCCATCCCTAGCTTTGCTATTTAAAAACCTGTGATCCTTCCTACACAGAAAGTTCTCAAACACAAGGTAAAGTTTCATGGAATTAGATACTACCTTCATGATCCTATCCATCAGATCATTAGACTACATGAATGAAATAGAATAAAGTGTTAGACAGAAATTCCTTCTTCCCTACAGTGACTCCATCGTCCTCGGAGCCATCCAAACTCTCTGAGTACTTGGAGAACTTACTTCCTTCTTCATCTATCACTAAATCTTGTCAATTCTCTTTACAAAAATCACTGTTACCCATTTTAGTGTCCATTTTCAAGGATGTTCCAAGAAAAAAAAATCTTAGCTCTGGACAATTCAAACAGCTTCTTTTTTGGTTTTTCAGCTTCTAGCTTCTTTCTTCTGCAGTCCACATATACCATACTATCAGATTAATCTTGGTTAAAAAAAACAAAACAAAACTGACTTCACCCTGATCTCAGTCTTCATCCACGAAAATCAACAATTCAATCAATTAATATAGACTGAGAAAATACTTTTGCAAGATGTTCTTCTCACTGCAAGGGGTAGAACTGTGAACAGCACCAAAAAGCTCCAGCTTTCATGGGTCCTTCATGCTAGCGTAACATTCCAGCAAGTGTTTCTTCAATGCCCACATATCCCAATTTTCCAAAATATGTTCCAAGAAGCACTGTTCTTTTATAAACAAAAGTGTGCTGAGCTTAAACAATTTTGGAAATTCACATGCACACTTTCAAGATTCAAAGAAATCTTGCAGTAAACAAATCCATTTAAACCAATGTTTCTCAAACCTCAATGTCTTTTTCTTTCTTTTAAATTTTTTGGCTTAACTTTTATCAGCATTCCATGGAAGTACTGTGAAAACCCTTTTGCCTCCAGAAGAAAATCAACATCCCACAATCTGGTATTCTCCATTTCCCACCACGTGCCTCCACTCTACCCATCTAGTACTTACTTTCAAAAACAAATTCTTTGTTATAAATAGACCGGTATCCTCGTGGTCTCCCATGCCTGCCAGCTTTACCTTCAGGCTTGGCACATGTTTTCTTCTTGAACTTAACTGAGTTATTCTCCCCTCAACCTACCCAAACATTACACATCTACCAAGAAACCCTTTATGACCTAGTCAACCCTGCTGGGATACTGTCGCTCACACAATCCTTTTATTCTACCCTGAACTCCTTCCTAGAGTACTTGTTTTCATGTCCATTCAATACAACATATTTACCAAGCATTTACTTGAGACATAGAAATTAATTAAGCATGGTCCATGGCCTGAGAGAGTTCCCAGATCCTCTTAACTTAGTTTAGTGTATAAACAGATGGTAACAGTCTACTATTAGAAAAGAGTTCTCTCTATGAGTTTTTCTCCAAAGTAAACTATAAATTCTTAGAGGAGTAGGTCTTGTCTTGAATTTTCTGTTTAATAAGTTGCATACAGCAGCAATTAAGAGTAAGAACTTTGCAACTCCTACAACTATGATAGGCCAGCTATTAAAAGCACAACTCTCCCTGCTCACACAAAACAACTATAAAAGCTAATTAAAATATATATTTATAAATCTGTTTGAAAGCCCTGGAGACCTGTCAACATAGCAACAGCTTGATTAACGATGGTCAACAAGAGAACATGAACTTGCCATTCACCTCTGCTTTTCCCTTCAAGGCATTTTACTGATTTATAGGCAGCACTGAGTAGAGTTTTGGCAGTCTCAAAGGGCTGGGAAGACACAAGTCAGTGTTCAAGACACCACGAAAGAGGGATCCTGATAAACACCCAGGGTTTCAGATGGAACATCTGAAGGGCTGTAATCTAGAAGTAAAGAGTAACCAAAAAGATCAAAAATCAGCCTTAAAAGTAAAAATTCCTGTTTTGGCTAAAATGATTTGTCCCTTCTTAACTGCCTGCCAGAAGCAAAGGTAAATATTTTCTGTAGGATGTTAACAAAATCCAGGCCTCAAATTTTCTCTACAGTTTTTCCATAAGGAGTATCTGGTATGACATCAAAAATTGCCAGGTATCTTTTCAGGAGAAAAGATCCAATTACTGAAGACCAAGAGAAAAAGAAGATAATAGAAACATAACAATAGTAGATCAAAAAACTGTACATGTCAGGCACAAAGTTTAATATAACTATAATGGATTTATAAAAATCAGGGATAAAATGGAAAACGTGGGCAGAGAAAATGAATCTTATTTAAAAATCAAATAGAGATTCTAGAATTGAAGCATACAATATCTGAAGCTTGGAACTCAATAGGTGGGTTTAAAATATGATAAGACACAGCTGAAGAAAAAGATTAAAAACTCAATATTGGCAGGTGGACTATATCCAGATAGAAGACTGGAGAGAACCTAGGATAGACAACAGAAAACCAAAACCAAAACAAAACAAAACATAGGAGACATATAAGGCATGATAGAGAAGTTGAGCATATCTGTAATCTGGACCCCTGAAGCAAGGGAAAGAATGAAACAATATATGAAGGTATCACACTCAAGAATTTTCTTAAAGCAATGAAAACACATCAAGTCATAGACAATGTGCACAACAACCTCCAAACAAAATATATACAAAGAAAACCATATTTAGTCCCATCATAGCCAAATTACTGAAAACCAAATACAAAGAGAAAAATCTATAAAGCAGCTGGACAAAAGAGACATATTACCTTCAAATGACCAACAATAGGATTGATTAAAGTCTTCAACAGAAATAATGAAAACCAGAAGACAGTGGAATGCCTTCAAAGTGCTTCAGAGTGCCCACTTCAGTATCTTTCCCCAGTGAAAAGAGCCTTCAAAAATGAAAGCAAAATGAACACATTTTCAAAACATTATTCCACTGGCAACAGACTTAGCAGAGAAGGAAAGTGATCCCGGATGGAAACTAGTAGATGTTAGAAGAAAGAAAGAGCAATGGGAAAGAAAGAGCAAAAGTAAATATGTGGGTGACTAAAGGAAGCTCACCTTTACAAAAAAAAGTAGTAATAGTATCTTGTAGAGTTTGAAATATGTGATAAATAAAATGTATGAAAAGAACAGCCAAAATTGGATGGTCAGAAAATGGAATTAATATAATTCAAGGTCTAGGAATTGATAAAAGCATTCATCTATATTAGAAATTGAATAAATTAAGTATGCATGTTATAATTTAGGGTAACCCCTAAAGGTTGGTAGCTTAACTAGAAAGCTAACAGAAGAGAAAGTAGAATAAAAATATATACTTAACTAATTCAAGAAAGTGGAAAGTAGAGAAAAAAGGAACTAAAAAAAGTGGAACAAATAAGAAACAAATAGTAAGATGTTAGAGTTAAACCCAAATATTCTGTATTTACATTAAAGATAAATGTATTAGATATCCCAATTAAGAGACCAGATTGTCAGACTGATTAAATAAATAGATAAATAAATAAATAAATAAATAAATAAATAAATAAATAAATATGGAAATACCAAGTGTGTGTTACTTATAAAAGGAATGCTGTAAAGATAATGATATAGGAATTTCAAAGTAAAAAGGCAGAAAAAGACACATATTTAAACACCAATCACAGGCATACCTCAGAGATACTGTGGGTTCATTCCAGACCACCACAAAATAAATATCGCAATAAAGCAACTCACTTCACACAATTCTTTTGGTTTCTCAGTGCATATAAGTGTTATTTTTACATTATACTGTAGACTATTAAGGTTGCAACAGCATTATTGTCTAAAAAAGCAACGTACATATCTTAATTTAAAAATACTTTCTTGCTACAAAATGTTAACCATCACCTGAGCCTTCAACGAGTCATGGTAGTAACATCAAAGATCTCTGATCACATATCATCATAACAACTGTAATAATAATGAAAAAGTTTAAAATACTGTGAGAATTACCAAAACGTGACATAGAGACAATAAAATAAGGTATGCTTGTGTAAAGAAAATTTTCCTTGATACAGGAAAGTAAACTTTAATGAAAGACATTATTTCCAGAAGTGAAGAGGAATATTTTATATT